TGCAGGTCAATGCAGGGCAAGGCAGGGCAAGGCGGGGCAAGGCAAGGCAAGGCAAGTCAAGGCAGGGCAAGGCAGGGCGAGGCAGGTCGAGGCAGGGCGAGGCAGAGCCAGACAAGGCGAGGCAGGGCAAGTAATAAAGCATGATATACCTCGAAAAAAGTTATCTTTTTAAAAAAACATATAAACGTTAAAATACTAATAGAATTTAGTGGCTCAAAGATCAGAATTCAAAAATCAAAGCATTAGACGATCCGTACATTAGAGTTAGTACAAAAACTGATAAGGTTGTGGTTTATAATGTTGAAGGGAAATGTTTCCAATTATTATAATCATGTATATTTAGGATAGATATTAATTACTTTAAAGTAGCACTTTTGTTCGATTAATATTATGTAAGTTACAAGCAGATTTCTGTGTTGTCATACTATGCGTTTTGAACTGTATATAGCACACAATTCTGTATCAACGAACATCGGCGTCCAGTGACCACAGAATTCGTCGGGTTTGTCGCAGAAATAAAGATGTGTGTATATATACGATGCAATGTTATCTACAGTCAGACTTCAGTTTTGATGGTTGTTTGAAGACGTCATATCATATACATATTTTATATTAAAAACACTATACATTTGAGCTAATCAAGCATGATGTACCTCGAAAAATGTTATCCTTTCAAAATTACATACAAACGTAACAATACAAACAGAATTTTGTGGACACAGCTCACAACGGAAAATTCAAAACATTAGTCCACACGTATATTTCATGTCGTCCTAAAACTGTCAGAAATGGACTTTCATAAAGTTGACGGGAAATGTTTCCAATTTTTATATACATATACATTAGGGTTAGATATACATTTATTAAATTAATTTTTTTTTATTATATTTAAGTCACAGGAAAATTAGTCTGTAGTCATTCTACTCGTTTTCAGCTCTTAATAACTCACAATACTGTATAAACGAACACCGCCGAACAGCGACCACTTGAAACGTTTGAGAATAACTCCAGTTACAAAGATATGTGTGATTATATACGATGCTATTAAATTTATAGACAAATTTGAGTTTTGATGGTTTCTTGGTGACGTCTTATTATATACTTATTTTATATTAAAATCACATTTCTTTTGAGTTAATATAACGTGATATACCATTTAAAATATGGTGGTCGCTGATCGGCGGTGTTCGTTTATACAGTATTGTGAGTTATTAAGAGCTGAAAACGAGTAGAATGACAACAGACTAATTTTCTTGTAACTTAAATATTATTAAAAAAAAATTACATCAAATAAATGTAAATAAATGTATATCTAACCCTAATGTGTATGTATATAAAAATTAGAAACACTTCCCGTCAACTTTATGAAACTCCATTTCTGACAGTCTTAGGACGACATGAAAAATACGTGTGGACTAATGTTTTGAATTTTCCGTTGAGAGTTATGTACACAAAATACTGTTTGTATTTTTACGTTTGTATGTAATTTTGGAAGGATAACATTGTTCGAGGTACATCATGCTTGATTAGCTCAAATGAATTGTGTTTTTAATGTAAAATATGTATATGTTATGACGTCTTCAAACAACCATCAAAACTCAAGTCTGACTGTAGGTAACATTGCATTATATATATTCACACACATCTTGATTTCTGCGATAAACCCGACGAATTCTGTAGGTCGCTGGACGCCGATGTTCGTTGATACAGAATTGTGTGCTATAAAGAGTTGAAAACGCATAATATGACAACACAGAAATCTGCTTGTAACTTACATAATATTAATCGAACAAAAGTGCTACTTTAAAGCAATTAATATCTATCCTAAATATACATGATTATAATAATTAGAAACATTTCCCTTCAACATTATGAACCACAACTACTATCAGTTTTTGTACTAACTGTAATGTACGGATCGTCTAATGCTTTGATTTTTGCGTTCTGATCTTTGTGCCACTAAATTCTATTAGTATTTTAAAGTTTATATGTATTTTCAAAAAGATAATATTGTTCGAGTAATATCATGCTTTATTACCTGCCCTGCCTCTCCTTGCCTCGCTCTGCCTCGCCCTGCTTCGCCCTGCTTCCCTCTGAATCGCCCTGCCTCGGCTTGCCTCACCCTGCCTCGCCATGCCTCGTCCTGCCTCGCGCTGCCTCGCCCTGACTTGCCCTGCCTTGCCCTGCTAGCTATGCCTTGCCTTGCCTTGCCTTGCCTTGCCTTTACTTGCCATGCTTTGCCTTATCTTGACTTGCCTTACATTACATTACATTACATAACCTTACTATTCATTACATTGCCTTCTCTTCCCTTTCCTCGCCTTGCCTTGCCTTGCACTGCCTTGCCTTTCCTTGCCTTGCTTTGCCTTTCTTTGCCATTCCTTGCCGTGCCGTGCCTTGCCTTGCCTTGTCTTGCCTTGCCTCACTTTGCCTTGCCTTGTTTTGCCTTGGTTGTTTGGCTTGCCTTGCCCTGCCTTGCCTTCAGTTGACTTGCCTTGCCTTGCCTTGCCCTGCCTTGCTTTGCCTTTCCTTGCCTTGCCGTGTGTTGCCTTGCCTTGTCTTGACTTGCCTCGCTTTGCCATGCTTTGCGTTGCCTTGCCTTGCTTTCTTTGCCTTGCCTTGTTTTGTCTTGCCTAGCCTTGCCTAGCCTTGCCTTGCCTTGCGTTTCCTTGCCTTGGTTTGCCTTGCCTTGCCTTGTCTTGCCTTGCCTTGCCTTGCCTAACCTTGCCTTGCCTTGCTTTGGATTGCCTTGCCTTGCCTTGCCTTACATTAAATTACCTTACATTAACTTAGATTACATTACATTGCCTTCCCTTCCCTTTCTTCTAATTGCCTTGCCTTGCACTGACTTGACAACGCTGGGCCTCATTTCCTTGTGGCTTCGGAGGACTCACTAAATAAGGGCATTCACATTCTGTTGTTTCAGTTTCTTTATCTGTCAATAGCCTAAATGTTATGAAGTGGAATAAACCATCGTTCTAAACTCCAGAAAAGTCATCTGAAGGAGTTTATGTTGCCATTCTATGAGGCTAACTATCCATAAAAGGCTGGGCAGGAAGTCAGCAGTAAGTATATATAATCCGGACTTAAAAACATAAATTTCGTGGAAACTTTGCACTGGTGCTAGAACATCCGTCACTATGACGCTTCCCGTTGCTTCTCTGTTTGTATCAGCCGTCTTGGTGATGATGGGTGAGTGTGGGTACAGGTTGTGAATTAGAACCCTCAGCTCGGAGATAGTTCAGTGTTACGTACATTAGTGAAGCGATTTGCGATTTAGCATTAATTACTAGAATTTAGTAGTATTATTAGTAGCAGAAGCGTTAATAGTAACAACAACAATCGGCTGATGAACGCAAATAGGCCTGTTCATCTTGTTAAAAATTTCTACAGTCCGTTTTATTTGTTCAGTCCTCACCCACCCGGCGGTGTCCATTGGGTACAGTATGCAGAATGCAGCAAGTTCGTTGCACCGGGACACATTGCAACCCGGTACCCTTTTGTTTCCGAGTGTACACGCAAGGTTTGTACACACCTGTCCTCAGTAGAGGGTAATTTTTCATACCTCCTCTAATTTTAACATCGGCTCTGATATCTTTAGCCTGAAGAAGGAGTTAATACGTTCCTCCACTTACTTTTTCATTCAGTAATTCTACTTTTTTTTTCTTCAGAAAAGTTGTTTTTCGGTTTCATGTGATTCTCACGGCAAACAGAGATAACTTCCTTAAATAGCACTAACCAATCGATCTTTGTAATGGTAAAGTGCTGTGTTTTCTTCGCGGTACGGATCGAATTCTTAAATGTTGTTAATACGAACTTCACGGATTCAAAGCGTTACAGTTGTCTAAATCTGTGGTCCCTGAAAGACGTTCCTGTACCGCCGTAATTCAGCCGCCATCAGGTGAGGTATGCAGAATGCGAAAGGTGGAGTGCTTCACCACGCGCCATGCTACCCTCTACCCACCTGCCAGCCAGGTTCGTAAATTCCCGTCTTAAATGTACACTGATCTGTTTATCTGTCCTCTTGTCTTGTCTTCCCCGTGACACGTGTAACGTTGTGTTGAGTGGTACAGTTCGAAGTTCACACGACGTCCACATTTATGTCCGCAGAGCGTAGACCACGCACCACGTGTGACGATGTTGTGTGTGGACCGGAACGTTGCTTCCGAGGAGACTGCAGACGGCTCGCAGTTTGTGTGTCTATAACCACAGGTTCAATCCACTTTCGTGTCATCAACTTCTTTGGCGATGGGCAATCCTCTGTCACGGTTCAACTGTCGTTAATATTGCGACTTGAACCAACAAAATAAAACATAAGTTCATTGTAATTACAATAAAAATTACAAGAAGAGAGACTGTAAATTAAACTTAGAAAAATTTTGAATCTCACAGTTTTACTGGTAATGCTACTACTACTAAAACGAATAAATGCATTTGTCTTTAGCTTCGACAACAACACCAACAACAACAACAATACCAGCGGGATAAAGCGATGGCGCTGCAGTCCATCGGCCCCCTGCATATTTTGCGGACAAGAGCTTTGTCGTGTTCCTTGTCATTGCTTTTATTTTCTCCTCCTAATTTTTTCTTGGCTTCAGCATTGATATGTTGATTGTATCAGGTGATGACATCGCATCAATCTTTGTGTTTATTTTCAACCATACTAACTCCTGTTTCCTCTTATTTTTTTCAGAGAAAGAAAATTGAATTCAAATCTGCCATTTTTCTTGTAAAATTCGTCTGTCCCCCTTGGTTGCTCGGGGCGTTTTTAAGCAAATAACTTGATATTTCTGATTATTGATTGAGTTCTTGGGACGGTGGGAAAAAATAGGCTTGACCGAACACATAGCAAGTAGAAGGGATACAGGAAAGAAGGGAAAATTTATAATTTGAAGGATCGATAGTCGATTATATCGACACTGAATTACCCTTTAGGCGCCTTCGCACTGAGGGACCGGCCCTGCAAAGGTTTATATTATTTTATCGTGGCAGCAACCAGTCCATCCAAGGGAAGTGAGTTGATAACCGGAGTGTATATACACCGAGGCTGAAGCCACTTATGAGCACTCCGAGTTCTAGGACAACCGCTACTATGAAGTTGCTTGCTGCTTCTTTGGTGCTTTCAGCATTTGTCCTTGTTTTGTGTAAGTATGGATCTGTGATCTGAATCGGGATTTAATTGTATTATATTAGATTGAATTGAGCCAAGCTAGAGCTGGCTCTTGTGTTTGAGACGGCGGACGGTGCGCATGCGTGCGGTGAGCTTGTTGGAGGGGGAACTGATGCGGACCAACCCTTCTCGCCAGAACACAGAAAGAAGGAACTCAGTCCGACACTCTCTCTCTAGTTATCTGTAGTTGTCTGCAACCTCTCTCCGGCTGGGTGTACGCCCTGTGAGGTGACCTCAGGTTGTATGTGTTTTATTGTAGTAGCTGCCCGTCCTGTTTGTTGGAGGACGGGGGCCGCTACTGATTTGTTGAGATATTTTGGATCCCTCGTGGTTGTCCAGGCCGAGGTAGACGTAGGGTGTATTGCCGAGAGGGCACCGTATTGTGGGGCCTTGATTGTATTTATATATTTTCATTAAGAGCCTTTGGTTTTGTAATTGTTTTATCAGTGGTTCCTGGCAGTGTACATGTTTGACATTTATGTTAAGAAATTAAATTGGTTTATTGTTAATTGTATCTTATTGTGTTTGAGTACATTATTGTCTGGGGCGTGGGGCACGCGACCCTCCGACATTTAGAACTGACACCTCCTTCCCGTTTCGACTGCGGTTGAGGTTGGGGAGAGCGGTCACTGGCATGGCAGAGCATGTTACAAGGCAATGTTTTCCTGTCACAGTCGTGTTATCTCAGGTGCTAGTGAAGTAAACAAGTCGATGTCATTTCGCGGTCACGGCGTGAGGTCACGTTTTACTGAACTTATTTTTGCACTAAGAACCTGGAAACAGAATCCGAAAATTTTAAAACTGCTGAAAACGAAACAGGCGGCTGAACTCTGCGTTACTGTTCCGTACGCTTACATCTGTGAAATGTCAGAGTTATCTTGAGAAGCTAATAGTAGCCCAGCTAGTCATCATTGTGATTGTGTGGTCAGTGAGTACCTCTGAAACGTCGGTCATTCCAGATTACATCGCGCAACGTCCGAGAAAGCGACTATGTTCATGATCTTTTTTCTTTTCTTTTTTTCAAGTGTGTCCGCAGTGGGCTTCCTGCGAGTTCCGGTCGACATGTCCAATGTCCTGTGGCCGAGAAGAGGACTGTGTTCTGGATCTGGTTGGGTGCTCTGGGGGTACCTGCTCACTGATTCCCATCTGCGTACCCAAAAAAGATGGTGTGTATCAACTGACGAAAATGTCTTTACCGAGCTTGCAGCAGCCTCGTTTGAGACACTGTTCTACCTCTTGGATATATGCGTGTTTGTTTGTTTGTATACACGTATCTAGCTTGCATCACGAGCGTTGAGCGGGTGGTAGTGAAAATGGTAACAGAACTGACAGTCCCTCTTTGTTTGGCTTGTTTCCCCAGTTCCAGTCTGCAGCGCGGTCTGCCCGCCTCAACAGCTCTGTGAAATTGTGAAGACCACTTACACTCCTGAATGTTTCGTAGTATGAGAGACGTTTGAGGAAGGAGACACATCTTAGAGAGAATTCCCGCAAATCTTGGCAGGACGAGAGCTGTGTCGTTTTCCTGAACATGACGGAAGTTGGTTTAAACCCAGACATTTTGATTGTAACAAGTTATAAAGTAGATTTGAAGTGATCCTGAAGTATTTCTTGTCTATTTTTACTATTTTCAATCAACTCCTAATCATTTTGACTTGTTTACGAGGCACTATGGAGAAAACTCTCTACTGGTGACGGGAAGCGAACCCCGGTCATACAGCTCGTCTGTATCTTTACTCACTGAGTTATCTCTACCCTTTCGGGTGTTTGGGGGTGCACAAACGTTCTGAAAAATAATCGAAATGTTTTTGACGTAATTCGTCGCTATGGAAAATAACGTTTTACGAAGCTTGACGGCTTATTATTCACAAAGGCCCAAAACCGATCCATATTCTGAGGCCCACGAACCCAGTTCAGACGTTCCCACCCACCCCTACCTTATTTCTTTAAGGGTATTTTTAATACTATCCTCCTGTCTTCGTTCATGTCTCCCAAGTGGTGTCTTGCGTTTTGGTTTTCCAACCACAGTGTGTTCGCATTTATCGCCTGTACAATCTGTCATCTTAAACTATTATTAAGATGGCATTGAAAAGGAGGAGGGGGAAAGGATGGATAAAAATGAAGAGAATATGAGAAAGTAAGAGATAAAATGGGGGAAAGAATCAGAGGAGAGGAAATTAGAGGAAGAAAGGGAATTATAAAGAGAAGACGAAACTAAGAAGCGTGTTCCTTCATCTCTTCTGCGTGTTTTCTATTCTTCCTCAAGACGTATTTGGAAAGGCTGACGGAAATTTGCCTGAGGCGAATGACGTTTATTGTCTTCAGCTACGAGGAAATTCCGAAGTTATTTATGAAACCAGTGACACCAACTTAAAGATCCGTGACTCGCGGCCCCGGGCGTTCAACACGCTCCAAGCGTTTCGCAGTCGCTTACACGATTGTCTAACAAGACGTCGTTTTTTTGACGTAAATACTTCTATATTTTAGGGTCAGTGTCATTCCGCAAAAAAGTGAAAGGAAAATGAGTAAGATGGTTACCTAAGAAACATCTATTTACTCGGCATTTTTGTTACCTAGGAAACATTACATTACATTACATTACTTTACATTACATTCAGCTACCACAGACCCATCTTAAGCGTAACTAATTCAAGTTAAATAAGCAAAGTCTTAATCAAACTTTACTCAATTGTAAAGCATGTATAAAGGAAATATTTAGAATAAAGCCAATATATAAACTTCCTTTCCGTA